CATGCTTAAACAATTATGAGCATTAGGTTGCAGGTACCCATGACCATAGGAGGCCAGCCCAGCACTGTGCTCATCTTGCAGAGGCGCCTTTTGTGTGGGTTTTAGGTTACGGCTGGGCAATGCAAAGCCATAGAGTGAGTCGCAAAACGAGTTTTCATAATCTCAACCTGTCACAAGCCAAGCCGAGACTCACACTGACATCCCCACAGTAAGATTAAACATCATGCTTCAGCAGGCACTAAATACTAACACAGCTCCCACGTCAGGGGGACACTGATTAAAACTGATGTCAATAACTTATGAAACACAATATGGTCTTCAGATGCTCTTTTGAATGAAAAAAAAAAAAAAAGAGGCGGAAGGGGGGAAGGGAGGGTCCAGCAATCCAGGTGGTTTAAAACTGTTCACGCATTTTTCCCTCCAATGTAGACCCTTCCCACACACAATGTATGGGTGCTTCTTTACACACTCAACGTAAATGCACATGTGTATTAAAGCATGTGAACGCCACTGATCCATATGGTCGGAAGAAAGTATTTGGTTATCCCGCTGAGAGCTGTCCAAGATGTCAGGGCATATGTAGGATTCTCTTTCGTAATACTTCAAGAGCTCTTTCTGTCCAGAAGAAATCCAAAATTGTATTTAAAACACTGGCCTCACAACAGTTCCCATTTACTCTGCAGAGAAACTTGCCTTGAAGCAATACTGAAATGAAAGCTTGACCTAAGAAAACGTATGAGCTGTAGTCAGTGCTTAGGAATCTCTCGGTGCCTGGGCCTCCACGGAGGATATTCGGTAGTCTATATTCTTAGGGAGTTTGTTGAGGGGGGAGTGGGGGCTAATCTAGGAAATTGTCCCACTTAGGCCTATTGTAAATCATATCTTATTACTTCTTAAAGAAGAACCAGAATAGCATGGTCATGGTGCTTGATTTTTTTTTTTTTGTCAAGACTGGTTTTTTTTTTTAATTAAAAAAAAAAGTAATCCTTTGCCTTAGTTGTAAACAGTCTAGCAGTCTGGGCAGCTTCACTTCGTGTGTCAACAGTGTGACATTCACAGAATGGGGCTATGTTGGGGAGCATCTCAGTTGCCGAAGGAGTAAGTTAGTATCTAAAGGATTTATTAATGCCTCTCCTAGCACGGTGCCTTCAGGATCTCAGAGCACCTGTCAAACACTAACTCACTCACATAGCTCCGGCACAGGGCCTTTCCATAAAAAGCTGGGCCTCCAGCTGTAAATCACCCCTAAATTGTCCTTGTTGGCTTTCCTTCTAACGGAGTGACGGAAAAATCGCGAAGACTTCAATTAAGATTTTATGGGAACTTCAATCTGATGTTCCCCGTCCCAGCTACAAGGTATCAGAACATCTATTCAGAAAGGAAGCTGTAAATAACTCCGACAGAGCTGAGTTCACTTGACTTTTATGAAATGACTGAAGAATTAAAATAACTTCAGTAAAATCCTGAAAAAAAATATTGTTAGCTGATCATTTGTCATGTAGATTATGTACTTACTAGGCCTAATTAAACTTTTTGAACAAAAACCACTTGCTAATTACATTAGTTAATATGTTGATTGCTCAACTTGGCGCAAAAAAAGGGAGGGGGGGTCAATCCAATTTGTGCGTAGTTAGTGCTTTGTTAGAAAGACAAAAATCCTGAACTGGAGAGATTGTTTCATGTCTGAGGCTATCATTATAACAAATAACAGGTTGTGTCTTCACAGCCTAAGTGACAGAGATAGATGGGGGTGAGGCGTGACCAACACCAAGGACAGGAGGAACCTTCAAGCCAGCAATATTTTTGCCACAGATCCGTATTATTCACCTCGGTGTATGCACTCAGGTTTGTCCAATTAAACCCCGCTGGGACCATACAGTCATCATTCCTATGCACATACAAACTAAAAGTGATAGCAAAACCCTGGGAATCCCTTTAAATGCCAATAAAGGGTTTTTCCACACAAAAGGACAAAAAGAAAAGAGGAGAGGCAAAGAGGAGAAGAGATGGGGAAAACTAACATTTCCCAGGGACCTGAACAGATCAAAGGCATTTTATTCCCCAAGACCACTAAGTCTGGGGCGACTGCTTTACAGACGCCTGAAAAGTCCCACACTGGAAGCTAGTTCTTCTGTCTCTTGAAGGTTAGGGGATGTTCAATTAGATCCGCAAAAGCTGGAACACACTGCCTTTTTAAATGGGAGGCCCTGCAAAGCAACAGGAGGCGCAGGCGTCTGCAGACCAGGGTTCCTGCCTGGGCCTCTGTGCACCGACCCTCCGAGACATGTTTTCCATTCGCCTGCTCAAAAGTCTGCATCCACAGTCATGAGGCACCAACTATTCGACAACAACATGACACAATTAATCAGAACCAGACTTCAAAACGTGTGTTTGTGGGGACCAGCTAGCTCTGCAATGTGCCTCCGACGGCGAAACGATTGAAGAGCCTTGCACTGGCTCTCTGGGGTTGGGAGGGAGAGGGGGGGAATAAATCTGTATGTTCACAAAAGATGCTCACCAAATGGCACATTACGGACTAGATGATTTTTCATAAATGATTTAGACATTTACATCTAAAACTGAAAAAAGTCCTCTACCCCACCCCCTTCTCTCTGGAAAAACTGATGCCTGGGAGCGTCTGCAGCAACAAAGTTGTACAAATCACAAGTTGAGCACACCCTTTCTTAGCTTCCTTTCTGACCCGGGCTTATTCACCAGCACCGGGTTTGTCAGATTTCTCTTTCAGGAACTGAAACTCCATTAAAAATCGAGACGAAAGGTCCTTAGTTAATTCAAAACTGTTCAATTTCACCAAACCCCGGAGCTAACAAAAAAATCTGGTAGACTTCTTTTTTTTGGATCAGGATTGAATTAGTTTAAAATAGTTACTGAGGTCTCTTTTGTAATCTGTAGATAGTAATTAATTGAAATCACATCACTCTCCTTTTGCTAACACGAACGCGCTTTTCAAAAGAGGAGGGGGAGAAAGAAAGAAAGAAAGAGAAGAAAAGAAAAAGATCAAACCATAAAAGATAAATGCAGAGTGCAAAAGTGACATTTGCTGGGTACCCAACTGGTCCCAAGCTGCAAAGAGTTCTTTGCCATCTCCCAAGGGATTCGTGATTGTAGCTCTGGAACGTCCCTGGTCCCCAACCGCGCGCCCAGCTGCAGCCTTAGAAAAGGGGGGTGGGGCGGAGGTGAACCCCAGGCTCTGAGCAAACTGAGAGGAAGGCAGTGAACGTGTTTCCGTTTGGATCTGGGATTAGGAAGACCTGTCGGCAAATTTTCTCCAAACCACTCCCTCCACCCCCGACCGCCGGTGGCAGTTCACTAGCGGCTTCTTGGTTTCAAAATAGGTACTAGGACGCATACCCGGGCATTCAGACCGGGTGCTGCCGGAGCAGGCATATCGCTCTGCCTGACCACAGTTCTCCCAGGTCCCACGTGTCTCGGAACGCGCGTCCCACAACAATTGTAACGTTCCCGCAACCCACAATCCCGAGATGCTCGAACGCTTAGCGTCCGCGCTCCGAAATACCCACCGCAGCCAGGTTCAGGAGCCCCCGCCCGCGTCGCCACCCACCGCCCGCGGCGCCGCGGCGCCCCACTCACCCACGCACTCGTTGGCCTCACGGGCCGTGGCGCGCTGCCAAGGCCGGTCGTAGTGGAAGGGTTTGCAACGGTCGCATTCGGGGCCGGCTGTGTTGTGCCTGCAGTCACACACCAGACTATCGTCTCGGTCGCGCACGCAACGCGCCGCGTGGCCGTTGCACTTGCAGCGGCCGCCAACCTGCAGGTCAGACACTGCATAGAAATAGGAGTCGCGCGCCAGCTCCGAGTCATCTTCGTTCTCGTCGCCAAACGTGTGCAGGCGACTGAAGGCCACGCGGATGTCGGTGGCCGTGACCCAGTCCTGCAGCACCGGTGAGTTGTCGAAGTCGTGCGCCGAGGGCCGCCCGTCCAGCGTGCTGAAGGCGATCAGGCCGCCGGAGAGCGGGCGCATGTCGGTGTGTGAGTCGGTGCACACGGCCTCTTGCTCGTTCTGCTTGGTGATGGGCGCGCGGTGCGGCCGGTTGTACATCTTTCGGCACTGCGTGGAATAGAACTGGAAGGGCACCCACGTGCGCCCATAGTCCATGGACTTGTAGATGGCCATGGACTCCGGCCGCGGCGAGCAGAACTGCAGGCTCACATAGGTCACCTCAAACTTCTTGCCGAGAGACAGCGTGAGCGTCACGTTGTGCGGGAACTGCAGGTAGTTCTCGGACTGCCAGCACGTCAGGTTGTGCGGGTTGTTGAGGTCGGTCAGGAAGGCAGGCGGGTGGGCTTTCTTGGGGTCGGACGAGTTGCAGAGGTGGCACGAGCGCAGCCGCTCCTCGCCCCGCTCGCTCACCACGCAGTAGCGCGCCGGGGGCCGGCCGCAGGTGCTGGACACGCGCACGTCCTTACCGAAGGCCGCGTTGACAAAGTCCGGGATGCAGCGGCGCGGGTGGCCGTTCTCATCCGAGCAGGGATCGGGCTGCGCCGCCTGGCCGGCAAACATGCTGAGCCCGGGCCCGCCGCGCACTGCACCCACCAGGCACGCCACCGCCG